GGTCGCGACGACGATGCTTCTTCAATCTCTATAGCGCTTCTCCAATCATTCATTTTCAATGCCCATTCCGAAATGTTCAATTTTCCGTGGGAATGTTTATTCCTACGGAAACTAGAACAGCTCAGAAGGGACATTCTCGCCAGAAGACATACACACAACGAACCGCTGCTCGTTGGCGGGTGGAATGAAAGCCGCAAAGGGTACCCGTTCTTTCGAATGGATTTGCACAACCTCCGGTCGCGTTTGGACAGGTAAACGGCTGATTTGAAAGACACGTAAAATATGCAGATACATATCCAAAAATTGCTGGATGACAAATTCACCTTAATCCAGTCGTTATTCAAGCTCGGCAATCGGGCGTCAGGATTATTGGGATATTTATATTATTATATGATACAGCTTCGCATCCGGATGCTTGATCAGGTTGGACCACTCGGTTTCAAAATTCGCTGGAGAGCAATAAAACTGGTGATAGTGGAAATGATGGAGAGCGCATCGCAGCCAAACTCGGAGCGGAATATGTCTTGATGTGCCGGCTGCGCACTGTGGCGCCACTTTATGTACCTGTCAGTGTGGTGCATCAAGCATGACGATTCTTGGCCAGTATGCTGCAGGCAGTGTACAGTGTACACTGTACGGATACTGCATTGAGAACAGGATCGATGGTTGCCCACATATGTATACAGATAATCCCAGGATCAAGGGCATACCGTACGGGCTCACCCATGTTCGGTGTGGAGGCGTGTAATTTGCGCAGCGTTTGATTGGTCAGCGGTGCTTCCGTTTCTAACCGTGACTCTGGCTTGCGGCAGACACGCCCTTGCGGTGAGTATGGTTGGGATTATGGCTCCATATGAGATCAGTAACCCCTTACTGTCCAAGCGTACGCATTTTTGCGCATCCTACAACACTGCTTCTGTAGAACATCAGAAAACGGGTGTACTGCTCTGATTAGTGATGCAATACACTTGATCCCGTTGTGCCCTTGGCGAACACTGCGAACGCTGCGATTATAGGAAAACGACCTGCCACATGTAGTAGTGCAAAAATTATGTCTATCCTTTGCACTGTAGGACACAATATTGTAGGACATAATATTGTAGACGCTCTTGGCAAACCGCAGCAATGTTGGCTTCGTAGTACGCGAGAACTTGAGCGTTTTGGCCGTACAAAAATTTTTATTACTAATTGTTATTATTATTATTAATATACTTATCAGTTATTCATTGATACGACCACCGCGCTGTTGTGAATCTGCTACAGACTACTTTAGTACGCAGTTTACATATTTGTCATACGTAATGGGACTTAGGTTTACGCTATCATACTGTTTCATCGGTTCATCTTGTTTATTTTCCGAATTGTGCGGTGATACATACTTTGGCTATTTAAAGTATTATTGCTCATTGCTTTAATCCCTACCCAGAATGATTATTTAGAAATCAGTACCAAGAAATTCAATAATTAGTACATATATATTCGTATTACTCGTACTTTGTATTAACTGTAGCAGTGGCAGTACTAGTACCAAGTACATACGCTAATGTCACATAAACTACTGTCCTAACTAATATTCCAATATTCGCACGTATTCGCCAGATTCGCCAAGTTCAAATAAAGGTTACAACTTACAATGTATCCAGGATACGATAACATTATTACACATTTGGTACTCGTACGTAAATACGTCTAACCAATTTAATAACAGATCAATTTATTGATTAACCACGTCGAATACAGGTTTCGAAAGAAAATCCGCACAAATTTTTATAACTGGATCAGCAGTAAAGGCAGTAAAGGCAGTGCTGAATTAGCAATAAAAGGCAGTTAGCAGCCACCTTGGCGAACTGTGCGAATGCTCCGAATATGGGGAAATCAAAACCGGCATACATTCAGTGACCTCAGCAGCCTCCTTGGCGAACTGTGCGAATGCTGCGAATATGGGAAAATCAAACGCGGCATATCTACACTGACCTCAAGTGCCACCTTGGCGAACTGTGCGAATGTTGCGAATATGAGAAAATCAAAACCGGCATACATTGAGTGACTTCAACAGCATCCTTGGCGAACTGTGCGAATGCTATTCTGGTGTCTCTAGGCATCATTGCATCATATCGACGACGCCGAATAATTTAAGCGCTAACAAATGCTCGAGTAAGGCCGCCCACATAAGGCACCAATTACGATCCAGTGTTGAAATATTAAGATTACTGTACTGTTATTAATACCCTTTATTATGTACTACGATAAAATAAAATTTAACGTATGCAATTATTATACGTATGTATGAAGTACTAGACTCGTACATCACCAACAATGTAGCCTAGACATCGTCAAATACTCTTTGCAGGTATTACAAGTACATAATCGTAAGCGTGATAAATACGACCGTTTTCTGGAAGTACATGTCATATGCGTTAACATATGGCACGTATTCGTACACGAGTATCGGACTTTCCATCCAACCCTTCCGAAGAGGATAGCTCGATATTACCCGTTGCAAGGGTGAAGAATCTTCACCGATCCTGCCCTTTCAAAGGACCTGATTTCGAACGCTTACCTATAATTCACGAAGAGGTTATAATAACAGGTCATGCCTTATAATACCTAACAATGTGTTAGGAAAATGTGAAAATCAGATCTGGCATGCCGTTGCGTTTGCTACTAAGATTTACTTTTGAAGCGCTCTTGGCGAACGCTGCGAATGCTGCGAATATGGGAAAATTAGACCCAGCACGCAGTTCGGTATGTTTACTAAGACTGACCTGTGAAGCAACATTGGCGAACGCTGCGAATACTGCGAATATGGGAGAATCAGACCCGGCACGCCGTCCGCTATGCTTACTAAGACTGACCTTTAAAGCACCCTTGGAGAACGCTGCGAATATGGTAAATTCAGACCAGGTATGCCGTTGTGTATGTTTACAAAGGCTGACCTTTGAAGCGCCCTTGGCGAGCGCTGCAAATGTTGCGAATACGGGAAATCAGTTCCGGCATGCCCTTTGGTATGCTTACTAATACTACCTTTCAAAGCACCCTTGGCGAGCGCCGCAAATGCTGGGAATATTTAAAAATCAAATCTGGCATATTACATTTTACAGTAACCTCAGAAGCCACCTTGGATAACTGTGCTTATGCTGCAAACATGGAAAAGCCATACCTGGCAATGCTGGCATACCTGAAGAGACTTCAACAGCAGCCTTGACGGACTGTGCAAATACTGCAGAGTCTTGATTAATTTAAGGTCTGACTGCCAAACTCATCTCAACAGTTCAACTCATCTAAAGAAACTGACCGCGTGCAACTGGCAAGCGCCAAACTGCCGTCAGCCATTGACATTGTTAATGGCTGAGTATAAACCGAAAGACTCATTTGCACTACTACTTTTTTACAGATAAACCCGGATTAGCTCTCAAGAGATGCACTACTGGCGCTGCTACTGCAAGTTGTGTTACAAATTGCCTACGTAAATTGCGTACGCTACCTATATGGGGTTACTGATCTCATTCTTTACCGGGATTATTCGTACAGTATAATATTTGGGTTTGCTCAACTTAGACAACATGCTCATTGTCTAAACGATGATTAACTGACCGATGTCTATAATTCTACTCATTTTCAATTTTTACATTGCTGCGTTTCTCACCATTGACTGAAAGAGAATTCCAAAAGTTTATACGCGCGGAGGCGTACCAGAAGTCTCATTATTAACCGATCTTCGAATCGGCATAAAAACGCACGATGTCATACGTCACTTGCCCTTGGGACTACCGAAGGAGCCCCAATTGCGTGTCGCAGTTTCAATGCATGCATTTAAAAACATGTACAGATGAACTATATGCACACTGTGTCAGCAATATATGTGCCCGCCCTTCCATAGCTTCACATCATTTACCTTTGTCCGGAGCGAAGTGCTGACTCGGAGGTTTTGTGCGGTGTCCCGAAAGTGGCCAGTGGAAATAAAATCACAGGCTGTCAGCTCGCTATATAAAGTACTGTATGCATCATGCTGTTCGTTAGAACGAATGAATGTCATGCTTTGTTTTAGCCGTCTTGTCCGATATAACGTAAGGCGTAACTAATACAAAATCGATATTTATCATCCCCATGAGGCGTAAAAAGTGGGGAGTGGCGTGCCGTAGTACGGAGTTTGGCCTCACCCCCTGAATTTGTAATTGTTGCTGTGTTATTGCGTTAGAATTTAGAAACCATGGGACACGTTGTACAAGGGAAGCATTTGTGTACAAAGCTCGATAGGCAAAGCAGGTAATGTTGATCATACGTAATTATAACTGATGCCGACTAAGCTACCGTAAACAAATCAAGACTTTCACTTGAGCCTTACTTATTACTTGTATAGGCTGTACGTGGGGCGTAAAACTTAAAATTGTTTTGATAACCACAGTAGCATCAGCTGCATCACAACCAGATATTCGCGTTTATTTGAAGAACGCGCAAATGCAGTGTTATAGGTCTCGACAACATTAAAATCTCATGTTTCGGAAAGCCCCGCGGAGAGGATGTACTCGTTAACGGGGCCCGGTTCGCTTACCTGCTTATTCGTCTGATTCGCAAGCACAAATCTACAAACATCATGATACCTAACACACCCATGATGATTTGACTCTAGCGGGTTTCAGCAGGTTCAGTGCATAGTTACGTTTATACGGAGCATTTATGCGGCTTGTAAAGAATAGACTATTGCTACGAGTTACTGCGCGTTACGTCCTTTTTATAGATAACACTCGAACTATTTTGACTGCCGACTCGGCAAGTAAAGCCTTTTAACATATGTAGCACGTAACTCTCATAAGTGTTATCCTCAAGGTTGACCGGTATTCCTGTGAAAATCAGCTGTCTATCTAGCTTTATTCATGCTTCAAAAAAGCCTCCCTGCTGAAAATTACAAATGAAGAACATTCAAGAACTTCCGGTGCTTAAGGCAGTCGCAACCGCCTGGTGTGGCCACGCAGTGCAGTTTTCATCTAGCAAATGCTTAAAAATTCCCGTTTTTTTATGATTCATCCCACAAAACGTGCTCTTTTTCTATTTTCCTTTTGTTAAAAAACTAAAAATATGTAGTGAGGAATCATTTTAAGTTAAAAATTTGTCGACCAGAAGCCGACTGGCGCGAAATCGCATCGGTTAACGGGCAGCGCACAATCATGGAATAACCAAAGCGGCATCGGTATCAGAAACTGCTCGCACATCCACATCACCAGCAGGCTCGCAGGCAGCGGAGCGCTCCACCAACAACACCATGCACGAAGAAGTTCTTCCGCGCTGCCGTCAGCAACATCAGCAGAGGCAAACGGGAATAGACGCACAGTTTCCGGCGTGGAGGAGGCTTCGTAAAACGCCTACAGACGCAAGTATGTGCGTTAATGAAGTACTACGTCGGTATTTTCTATATTATACACAAACAGATTAAAAGTGCTGGGTCCTGACCAATACAGGAAGCTAGTCACTTGCTTACCGATAACTTCGAGAAGCTGCCAGCCATCCTGGAGGAACACCTTAGACAGGATCAGACGGCCGGAGTGGTTATCATGTTCGTGGTAGACGGTCTGCCGGCGCCACCCCTCCTGGTTGACGTCAGGCCGCACCCAGCACTCGACCCGCGCCGAGGTGTGCAGGTCCACGCGGTAAAGGACCAGGGTGCTGGTCATCGTCATCGCCGTGTTGCTGTAGAAGATGGCAAAGGGCAACTCCATAGCTGCGGAGATGCCGCTTAAGGGAAAGCGCTCCGATGCGATCCTGCGTCCGGCACGACTCACGGCGGCGTCGACCAGGGCCTGCAGTGGGTGGTCGGCGGGGCGGCGATTACGTGACCGTTAAAACGCCAAATAAAGCCCGGTGTACTGCCAGCGTCCCGGAGGTTGGCGACGCAGCTGAGATTTGCATCCGTCCCGCAGCGCGCACTGACGTTGGCCGTGGGAACCGGGAAGAGTTTGCTGGCGGAGGGGAAGACCAGCAAGCGGAAGTTCTGGTCAGAGGTGGAGCAGGCGATCGATTCGCCAGTCTTCGAGGTCACGGGCCGGGCCACGACACAGAGCTGATTGCACCTCACATCACCGCTGTCCTTCCACGCGACGGCTGTCAGGGTGAGCGTCGCGCTGACGTCAGCGAAGGCGGATCCCGGGGATGGACGGGAGTGGACGGAATGCTGGAGGTCCCAGGTGTTGGCGGTGGTGAGACGGCCGCTGCTGAGATGGGCCAGCGCGCGTTGATTGTGCAGCCAAACAATATCCGGGAGATCCAGCGGCGTGCTGTAGTTGACGTTGTGTACGGCGCAGTCGAAGGAGACATTTGTGCGAGAGTCAGCAAAGACTGATCTGATCAACCTGGGAGCGATGCTGGGGACTGTTCGCTCAACGCCAGTTGAATTTTGTCACTGTCCGGGTTGTGCGTCGCTTCCTTCACGATTCGGTCCACTGTCAGACAAACAGCCAATTAGTTACAACCAATTACTTAAATGGAATTGAACTAATGCACTAACAGGTGGCGATGCTGTAGTAGCAAGTGGCACTGCGGCAGGCCTTCGGTACCGCCGTCGTACAGGCCGATGATGAAGAGCAGCCCACGGAGAGCAGGAAATGAGCCACAAGGATGAAGATTGCAGCGCACCGAAGTCGACACGCATCCATCGCCGCTGCATTTCCTTATCAGGGAAGGTCAACATACAGTTATAATGGCACTGTCAAGATGTCGAAAAGTTCCGGACACGTATGCAGATAGAATATACTTGATTATTTATGATGTATACCGTATGGAAACAGCAATCCTACGCAGTGATGCATAAGTACAAAATTTTTATGTATATTAAACATATTTGATCCAGCATCAAAGCCAAGTTCACCGTATCACTTGCAACAAGAACCCATGTTGCCGTGCAACATCAACCTATGAACTGAAACCTGCCATGCAATCGTTATTTCTCAGGGTGAGCACGTATTTTACCGTACACTGTACCCACACCGAAACCAAAACGTATGTAACTGATCATCATGGGAGAGTAAGTATATTTTGCATTAATCCGAGACTTTATTAAGGTCAGCCGTGGCCAGCAAACATACCGCGCTCATTGCAATAATAATCTGATAAAATGGTGGCACACAGTTCGAAACTACGCAGCCGCCCAACTCGTGAGCGCACATTATGGATAAAGTGCGCGTGTGTAGCCGGCAGAACTGTTAACATGTTAACGGTTAACGCATTAACATGTGTGCCGGGCGAGCATGTTAACGTTAACATTCCCGCCGGGCCCAAATGTTAACGACCGAAATCGTACACGTTATACATGGATTTCTGGATCCAAATCCTACAATGTATGTAATTACCTATATTTAATTAAATTATTTTTGATATTGCTGCAATAAGCTTTTTTATTAATGGTCGTAAAAAATAATATTCGCAAAACTGCGGGCCGGAAAAGAATTTGGTCAGTAATCTCCGTCTTTTTACCAAAGAGATTCCCTGTTCGACGTGACAAAACCTTGCTAAAATTGATCAAGTTATAATTATTGTTTAACGAATATTCTATAAGTAAGTATAAGCAAATTTATTTAGTTTTATTTAACTTTTAGCGCTCGCATGTTAAACTCCTTGGGCAGACAGACAGCCAGAGTACAGACAGTCGGTAGCTTGCATGCGTATGTAGCACTGTAAATACAGAGTAGAACAGACCTTTGACGGCTCATCAATGCTATCAAATTACACCGTTAACACTGGAGCCGGTCAGGGATGTTAACGCCGTAAACATGGGTGTCGTGCGTATTTTTTCCATTCAAGAATTCTGTTAAATTCGAACGTGTTTTTTGTTTCTACAAATTTTATCTGTACAATAGTGTCATTGCGATTGCACTTAATGCTATGAGTTTACTAATTAATTTGTGGGAATTACTATCGCATGTAATAGCGTTAACTTGTGTCAGGGTTAGCATCTTCGTCCGGCACCAATGTTAACGGAGGTAATTTGATGCCGCTCGATAACAGCCACAGTTACAAGCAAATTTAACGCGCTGTTGTATTACACACGTTGTCTGGGGTATAATTATGATGTCCAACATGTTTTAGCAGTTGTTTGCCATGGTTCTGTCATGCCCGGCTCTGTGACTGGAAACACTAAAAATTTTTCCAGTGCCTTCGTGTATCTAATAACTGGTAATTAAGCAGGTTGCGGTATCAACGAAGGGGTAATGTGCTTTAACGATCACGATTTCGACTTTCGAATATTATGCAGGATCGGTTAATTGGGAAAATACACTCCTGCATGGCCTCGTCAAATGCAAAAGTTTCCTCTTCCAAACTGAGGCAAAACATTGTGTGTGCATTGTTTTTCTTGACTGATTGGCACAGAAAATGGATACTATTGTGTTTCTTACTGTCGCGTGCCGCCTGCCGGTAAGCACTTATATTGTCTATAAGACGAATCCCGGCCCGGGATGTTAACGCCGCTAGCACGGATCACGGGTAGGTAAGTTAATGCCGTTAAAACTGCTCCCGGCAAGCGTGTTTACATCGGCACTCGGATCCCGCACGTTCGGTTCGTATTACCTGGGTAAAAAATAATTGCCTAATTATAAGCGAATAGCACAACGAAGCCTGGAAGAATTTTATTTGTTGGGTTATGTCCGGAGTAAGTTCGTGTTATTATGAACTTGCCAAAATTACATAGTGTGAGCGTTACGATACCGTCTATGTGAATCGTAATAGCGATCGTGAATCGCACGTCTGGTTGCCCTACTGAAACTTCGCCAAGTGCAGAGTAGAAGTACAGTAATGAAGACAACTATAGAAGGCGTTTGATATAAAAACGTACACATTATTAAAAATGCCTAGGTCACCAAACTTCCATCCATCACAGCAGTGATCGGTGGTATTTTCTGTGCATACAAGATCCGTGCTTCTTACGGGGGTAAATCTGAATGAATGGCTGCAGAGTATTTATGTATTCTGCATTTTCTCAATTTAAAAACACATTTTATCAAAGACTTCCATTTCTCGCTAGCTAGCGTGCTGGCAAAACACATAAGTTCCAAAGTAACCTTCATTTGGCTCACAAACGACAATGCTAAAAAGATCGTTAGATATTTGGCTTGCAAAATTTACACTCAAACTTTCCTGATGCAGTGCGTTGCTTTGACACGCAATCAACATGAAACGTTTTTACTGAACATTGCAGATAACGGCATTTTACGGTACGTTTGCTGGTAGCTGAAAGTGGAAGTCGGCAGGTACACAATATGGGAAAACAGCAACGGAAGCGAGTGGAATCCGCAGTAGGCTCCAAAAACAGCTCATCAACAGGGACGCTTGGAAACGGCGTGAAACGTTTCTTGAGAATGCAGGCGCGCAAATGTTTTCGCATCTATAACAAAATAGTGTGGAACCAAGTACAATATTGCAAGTGCAGATAATCGGCTACTGGTGAGCTTTAAAGTTATTAAAATTTCCTTTCCTCGACCTGGACTTTTTGCTCGGTTCACTACCTTTAACCTTATCATTTATTACGCATCCGTTAATAGTGATCACTGGTAAGTGCCGATCGAACTTATTTTAAATCATTAATTAATTGCACTACAGCTTTCAACTGTCTGACCACCTTCGTATCGTAATTTCAGTGTGTGTCGAAGACTTTAAGCGGGTCATAAGAATAGTTTCGGCTCTCATCGGGGTGGTGCTTGAGCGAATTATAATTATTATTTTTATTATTAAGGTTTTGTCTGTGTTCGGTTGCACTTTAAAACTAATACAGTCTAAAAATTTTAGCGCTTAATTAAATTTATTTAATGAATGTTGTATAATTAGTAAGTAAATGCTCTTTGAACACTTAAAATAGTAAGCAAAAGTCGCGAAAAACTGTTAATGGTAAGGAAGTCTCCAAAGCGGATAGTAAAAACAAATATATCGTCAAGGAATTTACTACCCAACACATTTTTCGCTTTATCGTAATTGCACTACAGAGTAGAGCATTTGGCTGCGCTGTGTGGGTCAAACTTCTGCGATACATAATCAGCTGTATGATTAAATCGGGGGTAACATAACTTAAGACGAAACCCTAAATACATCTACAGTCAAGGTATTTCTTGGCTTAAACGCTTGACAGATATGAAAAGCACCAGCAATTTTTGGGGATGCCTTAATTTGAAACATAGGAAGGAAGGGGCGCTTATTAGGACGGTTTATTGCGCGAGGTGCCGCAAATTTGATAACCGCGGTAATGTGCTAATGCTCAATCTTTAAAATAGTTCCTGTATGTTAAAGCGATCTAGATGGCTTCTAGATTTTACTAAGGATTATATTACTAAGGATATTACTTAATAATATAACTAGATATTACTAAGGATTATTTTCCAACTCTCAAATTTATTTTACACCTCATACATAAAAATTTCTTAATTTTGCTTATCACTACGGTGCAGAATGCAGTACCTCTGATTGGATAAACTTGATTTTAGAAAGGTCATGGCCGTAGCAGATGGCTGTAGCGAAGGCCGCAGAAAAAACCCCGCAATCACGCAGATTTGGCTGTTGGTCGCACGGCTGCAATCGGATTTCAATTTCAGAGGAAGTTGTGTTAGCGAGAGCGGCGCAAAACTTGATTAATTCGGGATCATTTGCTTGACCGTGTTCGAGCGCCAAGCTGTCATACACGTTAACGATAAATGGCGACTGGAATTCTTTTGGTGGCCCGCTTCCCTGCGCCAAGACAAAATGATTTTGATGAACGAAGAGTACTTGCAAAAATCGGCGGTCTCGAAAAAACAAGGATTTTCGCGTGGGCGACAGCTCGTCTTTAAGAGCTTCGATAGGACGTAACCCATCAGTACTCGGAAACTGTTCTTTAAGAATTTCCATAACTGCGGACACAACAAAGGTCGAAAGGCACTTTTTCGGATTTATGATATCTGCAATCATATCCGCTGTGAACCCTAAATTGTTCAAATTTTCGGCGCTGTTTGAATCAACAACTTCATCGGATGGTTCCTTAGATGTGGTCAGTTTCAAGAATCCTGATGGAGTTGGTAAATGATCCACTTCTTCTGATTTTCGGCCAAGTGCGGCATCGATTTCCTTAAAATTAATTAATTAAGGGAATGCTCAATTAATCGTTGCTTTGATGCTTGATCGTCGCATCATGAAGCTCGTAAAAGCAAAAGGTTCGTTCTGTCTGAACTGATTTATCAGTTTTAAAATTACTTTAATAAACGAAAGCGCTATGCCTGCAAATTGTGCCCGTATTCCCACGTATACTACCTGTATTCTGCCTGTATTCCAAAAGCATTCCCTAACGCGCTTACCTATTTGACCTCTATAACTGCTGCCTTCCTCAACGTATTAGCGCATTCCCACGTATTCGGCTTTTATTCACCACGTATTCCCAGTTGTCCTAGTTAAAAATCTAAGAAGCCTAAGAAACTAAACAATACACTGTCAAACACTGACAGCAATCACAGCATACGTGTAGCATACGTAGGAATACGGTAAAACAGCAGGGGTAGACGTAGTCTGACGTATTTGCAAAACAAATCAATGGAGAATAATATTTATCAACTATGGAGAATATGGAGAATAAAACGTGAATACAAACAGAATATGTGTGGGATGCACAGGAATACGTGGAATACAATGAACAAAAAAAGGGCCGATTTTATAGAGTGGTACGAAATGGGCCGTGGGTGCTCACAATTCCACGTTATGAAAG